AACACAAGTTGTTCTGTGGCATCAGAGGCAGTGCAATGATCAGATAGCTTGTAATAGTGGCTAATAAAATGTAAATATCCAAAATAATTCACAGAAATATTTTTAAAAGAATGCTGACGTAGCCAAGGCAGTAAGTGGCCCGTGCATAATGAACTGAGCAGTGCACCAATAAAGTAGTGGTAATGACCTTCCAGGTGTCGGGAAGATATAAATAGACTTTAGTCACCAGAGAAACAGGCAGACTCCACATCTCCACACAGTAGGTGGCTGTAAGCAGACACCTGCCAGCAGCACTGAGCTTCACAGCAGAGGAGTGGAGCTAGCTGTCATTAAGCCCACAAATCAATGCAAATGAGAGGAGGGCAGAAGTCTTAATGAGATTTGGCCCCTTGATCCATGGCCCCTTGATTGCTAAAGAGCATATCTGACTTTCAGTATTGGCATGAAAGGGAAAATCTGTCTGAATTTCTAGATATAACAGAAATGTTCAAGGCAATGGAAGAAACACTCACAGCTAATCACAAACAACTGAGGCTTCTCTGTAACAGTATCTTTTTTAAAGTAACATCTGTCTAGGGAAGACTTGCTGTTTAACTGATTGTACTTCCCACTATATCATTTCTTCATCTAGTCTATCGCATATAAAAACATGTCCGAGGCAAAGAGGACATTTTTTGCAATTGGCCACTGGCCTGTTAACTTTAGGCTCTGTAAGAAAAAATATTCATATCATAAACATGCTTGTTATGCTGTGCTTGTCACTTTTTGAAAGAATTACAGCCACTAAGGAAGACTATTAAACAATATACAAGTTTAAAAGAGAGAGACAAAGAGACTTTTTCTGTAGCATGGAGGAGTTTGCAAAGCAGAGGGGTCGATAGTTAAAAGGTCCTGTTCCAAACCAGGGAATCCTGGCCACCAAACTCCAGTGGACCAGGGCAACAACCCTTTGTTATTAATAAGACAAAATGTCTGTTTGTGTATGTGTGGGTGCATAGGACATCTTGTGTTAAAAGTAAGAAACCAGTTGAAAAAAAATCCCAAAGGTGTCTAAGGGCGTTAGTTTCTCTCTCTCTGTCTGTCTTTTCGTTCGGGGTGGTGTTATGTGCGGATTTTCCTTTTATCTTCAAACAGTGATCGGACAAGGTAGACCTGGGTCGCCGCTATCATCATCATAACAACAAGGTTTGTGATGGACCAGAAGTTAACCCTGTCAAAGTTACTCTCCTGGATGTTTCTGTCGCGAGCCTCGAACGCCCGCAGCACCGTCTGGATGTGCACGCTCTTGCCCAGCCGAGCCTTAACGTTGTTGATGGTGTCCTGGAGGAGAGGAGACACACAGGTCAGGGTGACAGAATCTGAAGACTTTCAACATTAATTCTCCATGACACTAAAATCTTTAAAACGTACAGACTTACAAAGCAGAGTGATTGAAATGAGAGTCAGATCTCTATAGGAACTTTAAATTAGTTAGGTATGTTCCCTAATTATATGGGAAATCAACTTCCTGCACAGCTGGAGGATACATTTCCTGTCTTTTGAGTGAGGCTTATGGGACTTCTGACACAAATTACGGCAGTTCCTGTTGAAGAGGCGTTGCAGGCTTTTGTGGCGCAAGCTGAGACAATTGGCTGTCCTTAGCCAATAGGTGAGGGTTCATGAGTGACAATGTCTATTCTTGGGACACTCTCCTTGTGACTTTGCATGTTTAAGGGTATTTCCATGCGCCCAGATTAGTCTGATTTTAGCAGTGCTGTGCCAACATGTGTTTCCTCACTACAGCTTACTGATGCAGTCATGTACTAGAGACTATAGAGAAAGCTATGTTCTAACTGTGTTCAACCTTCAGTACTTTTGTAGCTTTTATCGGCATCTTTGGGATTTTGAGTTTAGGGTTTGTTGCATTAGTAGCTATCCACTTGCAAAGCAAAAAGCAAAAACAATGGGCCACCCAGTTACAGGAAATTCATTAGAAAGCAGGTCTACTCAACCAGATATGGACATGTTTTGCTCTATTTGGTAGGTAGATCAGTCAGAAATACTGCAGGAAAGGGTGGTACTAACAGAAAGAGTCACAGTGATCTGAAAATAGCTGCAGCCGCGGCTTGGTGGAACTACCCCCAGCGTTTATTTTATTGACCGCCTGTTGGGTCACTTTGCACCTCCTATGTCATCTTTAGAGCATAGGTGGCACAGTGACAAAATCATGGCAAACAAGAGAGGTACAAAGTCTGAAACACCCGGTAAGAATAAAACAACACTTTGAATTAACTTCTCACTAGTGCCATTCATGCTAAGGAGGTTCAACACAAACAAACCTTTTGTACGATTATCTATTTGAATATGCATGTCAAGTTAAATATTTAATACATAACATAACACATGGTCTATCTCTGTTCCCTCACCATTATGTCTTCCAGCTTCATGTCCAGTATGTCGGTTCCCTGGACGTACGCCTTCCAGTCGTCTTGTTCTTCTTCTATTTCCATGTTGTCCAGGATCAACTCAAAGAAGATGAGCTTCTCGGAGACAGAGCTGAATGTGTTGTCGAAGCAGAACATGTAGTCTCCATCCACAGTCTCAACACTGGAGGGAAACACAGGTAGTAAGAGCTTACACATGCGTCTGTGTCAGTCATGCATGCATGTTACTAAGATCACCTATGTAACTCACGTGTGTACTCCATCGGACTTGTGGTAGTCACTGAACAGCACTTGACCAGAAGGAGAGGCAATTAAGAAATCTACATCGAGACCTGCTCCATCTAAAACCTGTGGAAAATGTAGGACATCACACTTGAAAGTTAATGGGACAGAGTACATTTGGAAAACTGAGACATAAAAACAATACTGAAAGATTATATGTGGGTTATTATTAACTTCAATCAATCAATTCATCTTAGTATCAGTATATTAAATGTGGGGAGCTCTAGTTTCTCTATCTAGGCCCCCCTTTATTCTACCTTGTGCTCCAGGGTAGACACTACAAAAGACGTGTAAAATGCTCGGCATGTCTCCCACAGGCAATTTATGTCCAATCCCTGACATCACCTAACTACTACAACCACCAGAGAGTCAGACTCATGCAGTGTAGTACACTGTGTATACTAACAGGCAAAACAGGTTCCCAGCCACATGAACATAGAGGTGTGAGCTACATAACCTGTTGGCTCTCTGTCTCATAGAAATGATATGGTCATTTTTTACAAGGGGTTTGCATTAATGTAACCTGTAAATGAGGCCCACAACATGCAGGAAACTATAACAGTACCATATTAAATGTGATTATTAAAAGTGTAATGTTATGTCAATGTTGACTCAGGCTCAGGGGTTATCATTGAATTGGCACAGTCCAGACATAAATAGGTGGTTTGCTCAGCTTACGTTACAATGTATTAAAGTATAATTGTAATTAAGAGAGTTTATATCACCTGGTATTCAATTTCCAGTGAGGCATCTTTCTTCATAGTCTGGAAGAAACACTCCTTGCGACCGGCGGCTAGAGTAAAAGTGAAGTCGCTGTCCATAGACTGAGAGAAGGAAGCCACTAGCACAAACCTGTCCGAAAACAGAGCGACAAACACGGACAGGGCACACGCAATCACCCGGCCTACCTCCATAGCCAAGGCCGCCTGCCTACACGTCCAAAAGAGGGGAAAAAAGGTGTTACAGGAGTTTAAAAGATGAGTGAGTGAAGGAGAGGCTAGTAACGCAAACTAACTTCTGATCAAATGTTCTGGATATCTCACTTGACGGGCCAACGCTAAGGACCCTGCCTGATCAAAACAAAAAACATATATTTAGTTTTACTTCAAACAATAACGGATTAATTCTCTGTTTTATTGGGTTTACTTTGGATTAGATTATTTGTCATCACTAGATCTACACACTAGATACAACAACAAAATTGCAGGCAGATGTTTAGGGCTCTTCTCAAGTTGCACTCTGGGATACGTAGTTTATCTATGCCATGTGGGGTAAATTGATAACACGATGGAGTAAAATAACATAAATTAGATCCTATGTTTTAGCTACAGTTTGCCAATACAAGTAATACATTTTAAAAAGTTAGAGGATTGGCTTTAAATATAAATGTGTGATTACATTTTGATACATTTTTTTTAATTAAGTACACCAAAAAAACATCAGCATCAACATACATCTGGTACATCTGTGATACTGGACATGGAGCATTTTTACATTAGTAAACAAAAACGGTACTCATGTTTATCTATATTATCCACATATTATGACATTTCTCCAATGCAAATCATGTTGTGGGAGACATATGGGAAATGGAGGAGGGGTTATTTCGAAGAATGGAGGGGCGAATAATATTTTTGTTGAACTTTAAAATATCCCCCTTTCCACCCTTCACCTGAATGGCACATGGATAAGGTCAACATAAAAGCAACAACACTGAAACTGAAAACTAGAATGTTAAAATATACTGATACATGTTTATATGAGAAATACACAATACAGATTGAACAATAAAGTTAAGGTTTATTTCAGTGAGCGTTGAGCTCTATTAACAAATGGCTATTTTTTTTAAATCCCTTTCAGGATGTTTTGAGGTATACATGTTTGTACAATATGACGTTTTTAAGGCTATGAGGCAAAAAGTACACAGTGTTCAGATTCCTCCTCACACACCTCATCAAGTGATTTGGACTAGTTGCATATACATTGCCCTTAGAAACAACAAAGGTATCAGCATTAGTCACTTATTGCAACGTTTGACATCAGAAGATTGAGCAATAACCGAAAAATATTGCATGCATTAGTGATTTGCTTATCAAGATATAGGTGACGCGTCCGGCTCCACAGTATAGTCACATACATCATCAGTCCAGGGGGTGTGTTGTTGAAACCACGATGTTGCTACGTGCCCTGTGATTGGTTGACACATTCTGAGCTCTGATTTGATTGGTCGGACGTGGAGCAGGGGTTGAATTTACCGAGTAACAGCGACCCATTTACAGCAGTCGCAAGCTGAAAAAGAAGCGGACAGCTGGTCCGCACAATGACAATTAGCATACCTCTAGTGAGCGTTTTAGCCACAGAAGACAGTCGTTTATGCCTTTCTAATTAACACAGGGCCCCAGCCAACAAAAACAGCTTGTCTTCGGTTTATTGTGTAGACGAGAGAGATAAGACAAAACCCCAAAGAGCGAGGATGTTGGTCCCCGCGGGAAGATAATGAAGAGGCTGCGCGTTTTGTTGGTGTGCCTCATTGTAGCTCTCCTGTGCTGGTAAGCTAAGTCTGACATCTACATTGACATTAGTTATGACATGACAGTTGTATCAACAATTGAACCATGTTTTGTGATTATATTCCTGTCCGTCACGTCGCTCTGAACGAGTGTTTTGCCGCATAATATGATTCAGTCATCAATGTTGAGCGGCATGAGTCTCCTCTGCTACACAGCTAACACTCAGCTAGTGACAGGGTGGCTGTGATGGACAGTTGCCTTTAACCTTCGCATGGGTTTTGTCGGTGCTTGACATGACTGGTTTATGTGTGTTGTTTCAAATGGTTTTAAGTAGGTTAACTAGCCAGCTGTGGAATAGCAACATGGCTAGCTAACCCGAACCACTGAACATGGGCTTTGATAGAAAACGTTACTTATCTGATGGCTGGTAACGTTATTGTTGACCAAAAATATGTAAAAGGAACAAGCTGTGTGTATGCCATTTTTTCATATCAGTTCAAATTAAAAAAGTTATTTCCCTGCAGTTTATGCTTTCAACCTTGAATTGTTCCTCAATTAGTAATGTTTTACTCGAGGTAATTATCTGGAAAATGGTTTCAAATCAACATCATCAGCAAGACGAGGCTAAAATTATGTTAAAAGATTGGTTAGCCAGTCTACGACACCTAGTTGAAATCAGAATTATTTAATATATTATTGTATGAATAAGAAAACAAGCATTTCTTAGTATTTGTGAAAACAAATCCAAATATATTTACTTTGTTATTATTAATGAACGTTTTAAAAATAAATAATGAGTGGTATTAAACCAGTTTCTTTCAATTAACCAATGAATGTCACACATTACAAGACTCAACAGTATGGTGAAAACCTCAGTGTAACATTATTACTTAAAAATCAACAGATTTAACATATCCATTGTTGCCTTCTACAATGTAAATAAGTTGCATTATGTGTGTACTTCCTCTTAACTGTACCTGCAGTAAAATGTGACATCTGGTAGATGAACTGTGTCACGACTTTTTAAAATCTCAGACTCATGGCGCAGGTAACAATATGCAGGGTTTAGAATAATAGGATTACCTGGTCCGCCAACATGCCACCTTTAACAAGATCGGTGCCTCAGGGGCAGCAACGTGGCCTGCTGACTGTTGTGTCTTTCTCTACTGGTCATTTCTTTGTGATGACCAGCTCACTGTCACTTTTACTGACAATGAGATGATTTTGTTTTTTGGGAGACTAAACAGTAATGATCGTATCCTCAAACATATTTTAATGTTCATGTTTTATTGAGCATAACAAAAGATAAACAGGAAAAAGTACTAGCTCACTGAGTCAGACAATGGTAAATACTCCAAATCCCAGACAAAGATAAGATTATTTCCGAAAGAGATCAGGCATAGCTCTAGCAGTTTTTGTGTACTGTTTCATATTCATGGCAGGAAAACAAAGTAGAAAAAAAGAGCATGAGAAAATGAAAAACACAGTTATGTCAGAACAAAGTTTTGCTCTCCCGCCAAAGGATGTGTCCAAAGGATAATTGAACAACAAATGAGACATTATCCCTTGAAACAGCTTTATTTGATTGCATATAAGGTGTTTGCCTGCTTACACCTTGGTGCACTATTTCACTTTCCCACCAACTAATGACCATGCAACCACACGCACAAACTTCATTAATGATGCAAACCCTTTTTAGCGTGCTGCTGTCGGCTTCTCACTCCTCTGTGCCAGCTCTCACACATCCCAGTAGGAACAGAGAAACGGGGAATGCACTCCTTTCTGTAATCCAAAGGTTACCAAGGCAGCAGTCTCTTTAGGCAGAAAGGGGCTCTCTATCGGGAGGCTGGTCGTAAAAGGCTGTTGTGTGAAGTCTTGTTCTCTGTTTATCACTGTGAGACTGATGTATCTGCTCATCTAGAGATCTTTCAGCTGTAGTGTCAGATATGCACAGCAGAACATATCCTGTGTGTGTCATGCTGCCACATTCAGCAACTGTCAGGTCTTAATAAGCTTAGGGTATGCTAGTTTAGGCTGTTGACATCAGCAACACTGGAGAAAGTGTGCTTGTGAACTTGAGAGTTTGTGTGAGGGTGCATATTTCTAGCCATTTTAATTGTCAGTAATGATAGTTCACCACATACATATTTTCTCCACATGTAGACTTTAACTTTAGTGCCTAGACTTCAGCTGAGTGTGGTGTTTGTGCATTTGTGTCTGGAGTAACACATTTTGGGAATTTCTTTGAAACAGTTTCCATCTTTCTTCTTATTCTTTCTTGTGTATACTACCCAAGAGGCAGAAAATAAACAAGAACAAATTGTGTGCGGCTGCTGTACTGTGTCAAAAATATGGTGTTGATGTAAATGATCAGGTGCTCTTCAAGGATAGGGCAATTAGTCAAGTAAGAATATAACTCTATGACTATTTGCTTATATTTAACAGACTCCAAGGTATATGTTTGAGATCTGAAAAAGACACACTATCAATAAGTTGACAACCAACATGTTTTGACTAAATTATTGCCATTGACTTCAATTACATTTTATTTCCTGAACAGTTTGATTTTGATCAATGCTTTTGTACAGGAGCATGCTCAAGAGAAATAGCTCGAGTCCTGTCATAATCCCATTCTGTCCCTGTATCTTCTCGGCGTATTAGTGTCACAGCCATTTAAAGTTACTTGGTATTAACCGATGTGTTAACACTCATGAGACAACTTACTAGCCTAGTGTCCAACTGGGGATGTTGTGTAATATTCTAATAAGTAAAACAAAATTAGCAAAGCATTACAATTGTCTTGAGATTATGCAGTTCAAATTCAATTGTCCAACCAGTGCTGTTAAATGTGATTGTTTCATTAAGTTGTTGTGCTGTTTATTAATCCATAATGTAATTGCACAGAGGCGGTTAAAGTTGCTCTCAGGTACTGCTGTGTGTATTGCTTGTTTGTGATGTCTGTTTGACCAGCATCCCAGGAACAGAACACCATGGGGTTTATCTTGCCCAACCTGTTTCCTTTCCTAGGTCATCTATAGGATGAGGCGCTCTATAGGGGCTTTCACATTCCCTTTGTCACTAGATCAGGATTTCCCAACTCACAGCTCTTGAGCAATGAGGTTTTCCAGCACACAACAAATATGTCCAACAATGATTTAGCCGGCTAATGGAGTTTTTCAAATATAGCTTCAGATATATTCCTCTTCCCTACACAAACACAAACAGTCACTCACACACTTGACGTTTTATGTGTAGGCAGATGTTGAACAACACTTCTCTCTCTATCTGAACCGTGTACTAAAAAAGTAAGGTTATAGCTTGAAGACCCTCTTGTTAAAAGAACTATTTGTACTGACCACATTTTAAAAGTTCCCTTTTTTGGGGCTGTTGTTGCATAAGTAGATCCGCCTTGCGTTGCCCATGTGTGCAAGTGACCGTGGAGATTGTTGTCACTGATCACGGATAATACTACTTGTATTTCCCTCCCAGTAGAGACACCCCCAGCACCTGTACTGGTTACATAGAACACTGACAGAGAAAGAGAGAAGGCTCTGTGTGTGTTTGTGGCTGTTCATGCCATGAAAGACAAGGGGGGTTAGAACTTGAAGGTAACAAAGGCTGCATTGGTTACTGGCAATGTTGCTTACTAAAGCCCTCTCCTGAAGCTTATAACCAGTTGCCTTGTTGTAACTTTATTATCTTTTCTTACTGTATGGCTACTGTGATGTGCAGCATGTGTGACTCCACACGTGGTTGTTTTTTCTCTCCCCGTCTTCACGAGACCACTTCTTTGTTGCTGTATTGTCCTACTGGGTTCCTTGTGAGTGCATTCTGATCTTGGGAGTATTCTTGAGTTTCTGAAGATGTATACTTCTTGTATTCTCCTAGTTTTTACCCCATTTCACCTATTTGAATGGCACGTTTTGTATATTCTGACCAAATGTTGAGTCATGGGTTGCGGTCGAATAGTCCATTTAGCTTAGGAACCTTCCTAACGGAGTGAAATGACCCGGAAGTCCCTCAGTGGCAGCCATGATAAGTGCCGTTCGAATTCTCTAAATTAAAAGGAAAGGAGGTTTCAAACTTCCTTTATAACCTCCTTTAGCTTAGGAACCACTGGACCTCCCTAACCGAAAGGAGAGGAGAAAATGCTGCCCCACAATGCCTTGCGGCCGCGCCATTTGCCGTCACACAACAGTCGGCCGTTCACGGAAACAATCGATTATGAACGAGAAATGATATCATGAAAGTTACGGTTCAAAACGTATGTGGTAAGTTGCCAAAGTGCTTTGTTTTGAACGTTCATCAGTATTATAATCAAAAAGAGAAATATGAACGTTAGTTTTTACTGAAATGATCAAATAAAGTCAACATTTCACAGTCTTTACTGAGCTGTGTGGGGTTTGTTCAACTTTTAAAAAGATGTTTGAATGGTGATATACACAGTGATAGATGTTAAGGACTAACGTTTATAATAAATACATTTGTATTGCTTTTAAGATCTTTTCATAGTTCATACAATCATACGTATTGGGATCATTTGTATTAATGTGGACCGGAGGGAGAGGGTGACGAGCATAAGTTTCACTTTCCTTTTTTATTTCAATTCCAACTTTGGTCATGAAGAATATGTTTCTCTGTTGTCCCCGTTCATAAAGCATAAAACAACAGCATCAGAGCACGGTGCAGAGTTTACAGTAGTCCCTCGTTCTTATTAAACATCCATGTTGTAGTCCGCTGTATAGAAAACTGTAGTTTCCATAGTTTCCCCACCGCAGCAGGCGCACATTTATGACCTCCGCTGGCGCATCATAAACACGTCGGATAGTGAAAGTGCAGTCGGATTCTCTAAAGTACCGCAGTCTCTTCTCCTAAATCCTTTTGAATTCTCCTATCCACTATCCCTTAACCCCATGACGTTTCACTCCGAGGTCAAGGAATAGACGATAGGGTTAGAACTTAGGAGCTGTTTTTTTGGAGTATTCGACCACAACCATGGTCGGTTGGTCAAAACAGTGATCTAACCCAACCTAAGGGTA